GACTGATCCCGTTCGTCCCCACCGCCCTTTCACGACGCAGAAAAACAAACGCGCGGGCCATGGATCTCCACAGTCTAGCAGTAGATTCAGTCTTGTGAGTACGAAACAATGCGAGCTGGCCCACAAAACAACAAAAAAGCAAGGTATTTCTCCATACTCTAGCGGTAGATTCGGTTTCGTGAGCAGTGCAGCGAGGCCCTAAGTCCAAAACGAAACAACGCGAGCGGGCCCACAAAACGACAAAAATCGATAAGCAACATATTTCTCCTAACTCCAGCGGTAGATTCAGTCTCGTGAGTAGAGCGGTAGATTCAGTCTCGTGAGTAGAGCAGCGAGGCCCTGAGTCCAAAATGAAACGACGCGAGCAAGCCCACAAAATGACAAAAAAAGATAAACAAAGGACAGGTGTCCCATGGGCCCGCCCCTTGCCCCGCCACCTCTCCCAACACTGGCAAGCGGGTCTCCGTGGGAGTATAACGGGAGACCCTTTACACTCTTTAAGAGTGTTAAAGAAAGGAAAAAAGGGACACAGATGTCCCGTGGGCCCGCCCCTTGCCCCGCCGCCTTTCCCAACACTGGCAAGCCGGTCTCTGTGGGAGCGTCACGCGAGACCCTTTACACTCTTTAACTCTTTAAGAGTGTTAAGGATGATTAGAAAAAAAACTTTTTTCTGCATAAAGTACTTTTTACCGGATTGTTTTGAGGCTTGTTCATTTATTTCTGGACTTATTTATTTTTTTGGTGTTCGGGTTCAGCTGATCGCATCCCCAAGGGGGCCGTAATGTTCGACCATTCGGGCTCCGGAGATCGGCCCCAACTGAACACCGTTAACCATGACATTCAGTAAATTAAACCACCGGTACTTCCTAAAGTCTCGCACATTAACAAGCCACAATTTTCGGAAATGTACTGGCCACTACACGAACGCCCAAATTCATCCAACGAGAGACGTTTGTACTCTACTTTTTTCCATGGCCAATAGCTGGATCAAGTACTGGTGGTTTAAGTTTTAGTTATTGTTATGACACCACAGACTACAGAAAAGGATCTGATTCGGAGTCCCCCCTCCCTTCTTCCTTTTTTTTTTCTTACCTTTCATTACCTACCTACCACTACTCAACCTATACAGGGGACCCATCCAAACATAGCTAGCTCTCACAATTAAACCGCCAGTACCTAGCGCGTTTTTGAGCATTAACACGGAGGCTGAATCTGTGCGCCGTGTGCGGGTCCATATGCATTTGCATCAGAGGGGGCCTTTGGGCATTTTCACTATAAGAAAAACCCAATTCCAGAGAGAAATGTTCATGGAACCACTATAGACTCGTATAGAAATCATTTGGACTATTTTTCCTAGTATTATACTTGCAATACCATCATTCGCTCTATCATATTCCATGGATGAGGTAGTAGATCCTGCAATTACTATCAAACTGATTCAACTGGTGGTTCAAGAAGATGCATGCTGGTGCCAAGGGACCGCGGGGGTGTGTGTAATGCAAAGACTCACACTTTCCCAGTGGCTGCACCTCCCACCTACTTCTCCCTCCCCCATTAACCGCAGTGTCTATGGCCAGCACTCGCCCACACACCACATACACCCCCCCTATGGCCACCACTCTCACACACACCACATACACCCCCCCCCCTATGGCAAGCACTCTCGCACACACCACATACACTTCTCCCCCCCCGCCACCACACACACACGTGATGGCAAAAGACCCTTCCAACACCGAACCGGGAAGGCAGGCCAACTATCTCGGTTCACAGAGTACATAAAACAAAAGAGAAAGAAGCACACACAAAAAATGAAATCAGTCTATATTTCAAAATACTTCATAAAAAGAAAAAAGGAAAAAACATTTGGAAAAAACAAGAAAAGAAGCCTTTGGAAGGTGTGGGTGGACAGTGGAGTAGTTGGCGTAGCTGGAAGCGCCCCCTTCTTTTTTCATGTCAGTAATTGCTAACACCATTGTACGGCTTTTTAAGTGGGTTCCAGCACGATTCGGTGATTTCGATCTCATGTTCTGTTTACCAAAACTTGCGCGCATCATTAGCCACACCCATACCTTGTCATTCCAATGTATGAAGGTTACACACACACACATGATGGCCAAAGACCCTTCCAACACCGAACCATGAATGTAAGATACAGTCATGGTGAGGGTGCCTACAACCGTTCCTGTTCGCGGATTGGTCTTTCTCTCTCTCTCTGTCTCTCTCCCTCTTTTTTTCTTTCCACGCACGTGCATGTGCACCTCTCTCGTGCATGGTGCACAGCGGCCCACGCTGCACTGCGCACCATAGCAGTGGGCTGCAACTATGCTAGTTACAAAATGCGCGAAATTATCGGGGATAGTGCAGGCTACAGAGGTAGACTTGCCGTACATAGCTGTGGAAGGAGTTGGGGTAACCCCCAGGCAGCGGAGATGGGGTGAAGTTTACGAGACAGGCCTCGACCAATTCTCAGGCGCCACGCAGCAGAGTTGGGGTGAATTTGACGAGACAGAGCTACAGGCCTCGGACGATTTGCCACCTCTCTCTCTCTCTTTCTGAAAGGCAGTGGGGACAGTCACCAGGCAGCGGGATTGGGGTGCAGTCGACAAGACAGAGTTACAGGCCTCCACCTCTCTCTCTCTCTCTCTCTCCCCCTCTCCACAGGCGAGAGGCAGTGAGGATAGGCACCAGGCAGTGGGAGTGGGGAAAGTATTGGGGTGGATAACACAGTCGGGGCCACCGTCTTGAGTGCATCAGCTGAGGGCGGATGACACAGGATCACTCTGTCAGGGGCATTTGCTCCCTCTACACAGAGCGCACTCCTGGCCATGTTGCAGATGAGATATAAACGAGAAGCCAACGAGAGTGTGTCGAACGCTCGCCACTCAAACGACCAGGTCAGCCCACTCACCTCCCACCTAGCCAGACCAGGCCCCAAACCATTCAACCAGCAGGACCTCGAACGATTGAAACAGGTCTCAAATCGTAGAAACAGGCTCTGGATGGTTGTGCACGAGGCCCTTTGGGCTCCCTTCGCCTCGCTCCACTACTCACCGAGCAAAATGAGACTGAATCTTCCACTAGATCATGGAAAGATACAGCACCATATTTTGCATCTTTTGTGCATGTGGCGAGTAGTGGAGCGAGGCCCTTTTGTCTTTCATTCTCGTCATACAGAGAGCTCGAGTTGTACCCACAACAGCAGGGGCAAGGTCCCACTAGCAACGAGGATTGGATTGAGCTCCTGAATCTAGACTTGTTTGTGAAAACGTGCAGAAAATCGAGATCCAACTGCTTTTCTGCATCTCTGGTTAAAACACATCCAGAGGACATATTTAATATTTATCCAATACTCTTCGCTGGTGGGACCTCGCCCTAGTTGTTCCAGAGGACCTGGCCTTCAGCAAAGAAAGTGCCAAGGCAAGAATATTAACTTGCATAATTTTTTTTATTAGAAAGCATTTTTAAATTTTATATATACTTGTTAGGTTTAATTGCACTGTGATATGCATTACTGGACCTGTTCTCAAGAGATGCCAGTCCTCACCATTAGACCCGAGCCTGCGCATCGTACTCTACCATTCCTCACCATTAGACCGAGCCTTGTGCATCGTACTCTACCACTGCCCTTGACGTCTTCCAAGGTCTGCGCGAGGGAGGGCTGTACGAGCAGGCCACACAAAAAATCACAGTACTACCCTCCTCACCCGAATAGAACGCCCGGTCATTATCGCTTTATTTGGTGCAACTTTCAGGGCCTACTCGCACCAGGCTCTCAAAATCGAGAAATCCCAAAATGAGCGGCAAAATCTAGTCCTTCCTTTACAAGGACTCGATCTGGCTGCTCATTTTTTGATTTTGAGAGTTTCACAGCCTAATGTGGACATGCTCTCAGTCTAGTCTCTGGATACAATGATAACGATGGAGTGTTCTATTCGGGCGAAGACGGTAGCTGTTGAAGTGCAGCGGTTGAGGCAAAGATAGTGTTTCGACTTTGGCCATTTTTCGTGTGCGACCGTTTCCGCTAGTGTTTAGACTTCGGCCATTTTTCATGTGCGACCGTTTCCGCAAAAAATCCTTTAATACCACCATGGAATACAAATGCCAATCTCCTGGAATAAAACAAACAAAAAAAAAACACACGAAAAGTATGGAAAAAAAAACAAAATGGAGTGAAAAGTACGTACATGCATCTTTGCCCTGCCTTACGGGTCTAGTTGATAAATTCGCCATCCGCCGAGGTTGTCAATGCATCTGGACGTCGTGGATGTCCTGATGCGTTCAAAATGTTGGCGGATAGCAAGTGGTGCCACTAGCCCCTATGTTTGGGGGTCAGGAAGACTGACAGTTCTGGAAAAAAAAGGCTCAGGGGCTACCACAAAAAGCTTCCCGGTCACGTGGACTACCACACACTCCACTCACACACAAAACGTTACACAAGCAAGTTCAGCATATGCGGGCAAAAACAAGAGACGACTGAAGCGCGAAACATGAGTACTTCCAGCATGAGCAGGTCGGAAACAAGAGACTCTACGAACCTTCCTTATTGATAATTACGAAAGCTTTTTGTAAGTAAACAACGAAGCAAATAAGATTAAAATGTGACAATTAGGCTATACTTCTGTCGTTCGTGCGGTTTGAAACTCCCTCCTCCCTTCCCTCCTTTCCCTCGCCCTCTCCCGCTCCCTTTCCCTCCCTCTCTCTCTCTTTCGTCCCCAAAAGACACCTTACTCCCTCCCTTGTCCGCCCCCCTCCCCGCCCCCCCTCCCCCTTCCCTCTTTTACACACTCACTTCGCATTAAAGAAATCAGCCATCGTGACAAAAGCACACAAAACGTGACAATTAGGCTATCCTTTGTCGTTCGTGCGGTTTGAAACTCCCTCCTCCCTTCCCTTGCCCTCTCCCGCTCCCTCTCCCTCCCTCCCTCTCTCTTTCGCCCCCAAAAGACACCTTACTCCCTCCCTTGTCCGCCCCCCTCCCCGTCCCCCCTCCCGCTTCCCTCTTTTGCACACTCACTTCGCATTAAAGAAAAGAAATCAGCCATTGTGATACCTCAAGCAAACACTGCAAACTTCGCTTATAACACAACGCTCTAATCTACACACCTGCCCGTCTACTAAACTTCCCAATGTCTATTAGTAGTATAAACAAGTACTTCCCCTACACCTCACCACGCCAAGGAATCATCAATCCCCAGTTCCATGCAGCACATACTAATAATGCGAATCAATAGGCAACACAAGTTTCTACCACTTTCGTCGGCAAACACAAGCAAAACCTTGGAAAGTTTCACCTTTCACAATTGCAGACGGTGTAAGATTCTCACCACAACTCCCCACGCCAGTCGGACGCACTCCGCCCTATCCATTTGTCCAGAAATGTGTTCTACTAGTCGTTTCCTGTAAAAGCGGTGTACAGCGTGCAAGATCGCAATGCCAAGAAACAGTCGACGCTTGTTCGCTAACTGAACAGCCAGCCACTGGTCCCGTTTCTATTGCCAGTACATCTCATCCCGACAGGGGAAACGGATTGGGCCGAAGGCCAGCGTGCCTTCGTGTAGCTAAAGGAAAGCACATCAACCGAGACTGCATTAGGAAACATCAACCTCTTAAGAAACTCAAACTTCCTTCATGGAGCGACCAAGCAAGCAAAGCAGCAAACAAGTGCAGGCAAGAAACATATTTCATGCATATAGATAGATAGATAGATAGATAGATAGATAGATGGATAGATAGATAGATATCCCCTAGGAACCCAAAGCGAGCTGTACACAAGTGCAGGAAGAACAAGGGCCCCTTCGGAAAAGAGAGTGCAGAAGCACAAACAGACGATCAGGAAGGGCATTTGTCCACTCAAATCGCAAGCAGGCAAGCAAGCAAAAGCAAAAGCAAACAAGTCCAGGTAGAGAGAAGGTAACGAACGAAAGCAGGCAAACAACTAGTACAGAAATTTTAATAGTAGCATAGATAAGATAGAGAGGATTGACCGTAAAATGCATGTTCGTTCAAAAAGCAAGCAAGCACGCAAGCAGGAACACAAAACTCCAATCACAGACAAAGTTTCCCCTCCTCCAGAGCCAGCGGAGTTCCCAACAATATATTTCCCAGAAGCCTAATGATAACCTTGTTCACACACGTCCCCCCTCCAGGGGGGGGTGTAAAGGCAGACACACCACCGTACAGACGAAGAGAAGCCTAATGATAACCTCGTTCACACACTTTCCCCTCCAGGGGGGTGCAAAGGCAGACACACCACCGTACGGACGAAGAGAACAGCAACGCTTCGAACCGAAACAATGAACTGATCGAACGGAATGGGGTTCAAGATCACTTACGTTCACAAAGGAGTATCCGTCTAATGCTTCTGCCACCAGTCTGGATCTCTGGAAAGGAGTGGACAGTTTTTGCAAAAAAAAGCTCTCACACATGCAAGCATGCATAACACCAACGTACGAACGAAGAGATGGCAACGCTTCGAACCGAAACAATGAAATGATCGAAACGGAACAGCTGCGAGATCCTTTACGTTTACAAAAAGGACAGTCTAATGCTTGTGCCAAAAAACTTACCAGTCTGGATCTCTGGAAAGGAGTGGAAAGTTTTTGCGCAAAAAAGCTCTCAAACATACAAGCATGCACAACACAGGTTTCCATCGGATACGAATGCGGGTATACGTGTCCGTAAAACTGATATACTTACTCGTCTGGTCCGGCCTTCACATCCCATCCATCGATTACGAAGCATCTTCGAAACACAAAGCACATCCCAGCCATTCGATGCAGCAAACATTGTTCCCAGCGATCTTCTCTGCCCCCGTTCCTCATTGGCGCGAAACAGGAACACAACTGAAATGACAGGTTGCTTATTTACCCGCCTGCTCTGCGGCCTGCCTTCGCACACGACAAGAACAATCCCAATTGCGCAAGACATTCTCCTTCTTTTCGCAGGGAAGGACATCAAATACCAACCCCATACAGTAAGTTTTTGTTGACTGCAACATAATGATTCAACCACTTCATAATTTGTACAGGCTTCAAGGAGGCGGCAAACACTTTCACCAAAACAGAAGAGATGCATGTGCAAGGACGACCAGCACCAACCCAGGCTCGTAAATTCTATTTCTTTTCCTTCCTCGCTATGTATTTCTATTGCACGCGCGCGCATGCTCTCTCAAATAGAGACGATCGCAACGGCAAGATGCCCGAACAAGCACACAAACAGTCGTAGTTAACAAAGCAATCTCTATATCCGCCTTTCCAACCACAGATATCTCTCCTCTCCTAAAATCAGGCTTCCTGTCGTGCAAGCAGTTACAACACTATAGCAGATTCGATACGTAAAGCGCTCGACATGAGCAATAGGACACCAACAACAGACCAACAGCTCTCAGGCATGCAGAAAAAGTACTAACGCAACGAGCAAGTAACCTTGCCCTCTCTCCATCCACATGTGCTTCCCTGATCGTCTTCAAAGTGCCTCCCATCGCGATGCCGACAGGAGATTTGAAAACATGCATTGAGAATGGACGGAAGATGCAAAAGACGCTCGTTCCTCCCACTATATACTCCTCTTCCTCCCTCTCCCTTCCTAGTCCTCTTCAACACATGGCCATGCACACTTCATCTAACAACAACGAAGACATCATCGCAACTGCACCCACTCCTATTCGACCTGTCCGCCACACATGTTTCCTAGCCCTGCCTAGTTACCCATGCGCAACGATAAACGTCGTCCCACATCGGAAGAAAAAACCCAAAGGCCCCTCCTCCTGAACCCAATCCAACCCATTCGTAGCCTCCAGATCGAACCCCGTAACAGGTATTAGGAGAGGCGACATCAAGTTTACCTGCCGACCAAATTCCCTCGCACTCCAGGCCCAGACGAATCCGCTCCCCAGAGAGTCATCCACCACCTCCCTGGTCTTTATTCAGGAACAGGCATGCCATCGATCACCTCCTCGCTCCCCGCCGCATCAAACTCACAATAGAGTGAATTTTGACATCGTATGAAAAAAACGAAAAAAAAAACGATCCATACAAAGGCGTGCATGGTCCAATCCCTGCAAGCATTTTCTCGTCTCCGCAAGAGACGAGAGCTGATCCTGAAACCATAAACCACAAAAAAGGTAGGTCCTGCAACATCAATAGCATGACACCATATCATTTGATCGCAAAACCTCCGCCACCAAACATTAGGAACAAAAACTTGAAAAAAGTCACGATCCACACAGACCCCCATCGCACAGAACATCAGGACCTCATTCACTCCCTTGAATATGCTCCTGCTCCGTCACATATGCTTGACCATACACAACTGAACCGCCACTTCCGTCACCCGGCACAGCTAGAATCCGAAAACAAGCAACACCTCATAAGGATCTATCCAGGTCCACACAAACAAACTCCAGAAAGATTCAGCTCATACTCTGCAACCTGTTCGCACTGTGTACATACGAACAAAGGACGGACTTGATGACACAGACAAAATCATGCAACAAAGTCACACAGAGCATAACAGACAAGCGCACACATCCGAGGACGATTGCCTTCCCGAGCCCTTCTCTTCTTTTGGAGCGGCTGGCGGCCTGCTGCACCATCTTTTCAAGGGACTGCCGCAAACTTCACCAAGAGAAAGATGCAGCTGCACTCGTAGAGTTAAGGAACAGAAGAGATCGGCTGCAGTTTTGCATCGATCTTTCTTTGTCACAGTTTTACATCCGTTAAAGCACCAGTACACCAGACATCAGCCTGCGTGTGTCAGCACGAAACCCGCACTACTTTGGAGGCCGACGATTTGGTTTTTCAACGGCGCCCCACGTCGCACGTCCCCAACCTGCACCACTTCGGAGGCCGACAATTTTTTTTTTCAACGGCGCCCCACGTCGCACGTCCCCTTCGAGTTTTGCTTGTGGCGACAAAAACTTTCTGCAAGGCTGGGGCTGTGTATTTGCGGTTTAAGGGCTCCGCAGTTCGGCACCATCACAACTACCCTGCCACAGTGCTACATTGAGATAACTGTTTGGGAGAGCTTGGACGGTTTCCGGCAAGCACGATCAGAGCTCAGCGAACTTGACCTGTTTTCTGACGATGTTCAGGACAACAAGAATCATGAGCAGTTGCACCCGTGCCCAGATGAGACCAGGTTCAGATGAGGCCAGGGCAGAGTAGCGGCTCAATGGTGTTCTAAACCACCTGCAGGTACGAGGTACGGATTCGTTATTCGAAGTTGATGCAAATGCTGAGGACTTTCAAATTCAGCCACAGGATGAGCGCTTGGCGAGGACAACCACCATCTCCATACTTGCGTCAGGCTTAGGAAACAAAACACCTGTATGGCTGCATGGAAGTCTCGCAATGCTACATCTTGTCCGCAAGGGTGAAACCATTCCCTCCTCAGTGCCAAGTGCCAAGCACAAGCACCTCATCAGAAAAATAATATCCCCATTCGTTATCGAATAACATGGTGTCTTCGATTGTTTTCCGGTCTGCTTCGCCCGATTCGCATACACATGTGTGCATTACAGAATGCATCCTTGTGCATGGCTTTGGTATTACTTTCGACACACGCAAATGAGAATCGAGACAGGACTTCCCAAAGCTCTTCAGGTATATTCCTCTTGCTCATGCCTTCCCACCTTTCTGTGTGAATCCCTGTCTGCACATAATCCAAGTACACAGGATGGAAGAAGTGTTTTATCCTGCCAAGGAACTTTCAGCTCACTGCCATTGCCGCCAGAACAGAACGCGTGGTAATGAAGGAAGGCTGTATTTGCACCGGCTTTCAGTCCAGACACACAACTGTATTGACTGTGCGTTCTTTTTCCGTTGAAAATGGTAAGTAGGGCCTTAACCCTTTCATCTTCAGACTTTTTCACAATTCTGCATCACGGCTGTAAAACAGCCGTTCAGAAACTCCTTCGTCTCTGCAAATCGGAAACGAGAGTGGGTAAGGCCTTAATCCTTTCATCGTCAGACATTTTGGCACAATTCTGCATCACCGCTGTCACAGCCGTAGCAAGACTTGTGTCACAGCCATAGCGAGAAAGTGCACTATGGTCTCCATTATGTCCCTTGCAATTTCGTCCGTCGCGATTGCAATTTCGTCCCTCACGATTGCAATTTCGTCCCTCGCAATTCGGGTGGACTTCTTCAGGTGATGCCCTTCAGAAAGGGATAATCTGTAGACATAACCGGGTCTGGGTCTCTATCCAATCGCTTCTGGCATTTGCGGGTTGTCCCAACAGCATGTTTGTACCCGGGTAAGCAGTCTGCCATTCTCCGTGCAGTCAGCATCATTTGGCCTGCCAAGATCATGTTTTGGGAAACCACGTCCGATCAGCGGCAGCAAAAAATGGAAATGCAAAACTACGAAGTGCAAACTCTCGAACGTATGCGCCAATACATCGCACCCAGTCTGTGACTCCAACTGGGGTTAGGATTTCAGTCTTCGCGTCCAGGCATCTCCAAGCTCATGCTGTTGATAAACAGGTCATGAAATGACTCGTCGGCAAACTTCAAAGACTTTAAGCAGAGCAAAAAATGAGATTAGCCAGTTTCCCCCGGAGGATGAAAAGACTCATCGTTATGTTTCACACAGACCTGCATAGGCAGTTGTGTAATTTTTGCCCCAGTACTAACGCGCATATTATGCGGTTCCGATTCAAAAAAAAAAAAAAGGTTCCTCGTGCTCAGTTCCCATTTGTTTATACTTAAAACTGCCGCTCTTTGCCTGGAAAAAAAAAAAAAAAACAGATCTGCAGAGAGTCCAGCTTCCAGACGGGAGCTGGAACGAGTCCCAACACCATCTGGGGTTGCCCAGACATGCATTTTATATCTCCAATTTCAATAGATGTCCTGGAGCAGGATTTTTTTAATTTTTTATTTGTTTATTTTTTTTGGGGGGGGGAGAGGAGGATAGTTTTGGGTCCCTGATTCGCTGCTATTTCTTGTTGACTGAAAATTCTCTGAAATTCAACTTGACCGTCACGCTCAGCAAAGACACGCCTGTGATCGAAATGCTGCATGACATTTTTGTTTTCCCTGTTTTTAAACCACCAGTACTCGGCCCAGCTATTCGCCGTGCGAAAGACTAGAGTAGAAAGGTTTCCAGTCGGATGAATTTGGGCACTCCTGCAGTGGCCCGAACGTTTCCTAAAATTGGGGCTTGTTAATGGGCACGCTTAATCTTTCCTACTCTTTCCTATGCAGTAGAAAGGTTATCTAACTTATCTTTTATGTTTTTCTTTTCCAGGGCAGAATTCTTGTTGAATAAAGGACGAAACAAAAAATCCGCATGGTTGCCAGATTTCTTTTTTTTTACATTCTCTTTCCTTACCGAGTGCAAGTGCGGAGTGAACAAATTAAACCACCGGCGCCTTTTTTCCCGGCCATTTTTCTATGATGCACCCATGCTTGCACCATCTGCGGCGGGATGTACCGCACTACCAGTTGGTTCACTACAACCCCCCCCCCCCCCCCCCGGCAAGACGGATCCCGTGCATGGCCCATTTTGCATGGAATCCGTGGATGCATTTTTTGGGAACCTGCAGGGTGATACATCCCATGCGGTAGCGGTTCACCCCCCCCCGGCAAAACACATCCCGTCCATGGCCCATTTTGTGTGGAATCCGAGGATGCATTTTTTGGGAACCTGCAGGCTGGTGCATCCCACCAGGGCGGGATGTACCGCACTACCAGTTCACAACAACCACCCCCCTGAAAAATAACACATCCCGTGCATGGCCCATTTTGCATGGATGCATTTTCTGGGAAGCTGCAGGCGGGTACATCCTGCCAGACGCGACGCGAGCACTTCCATTGCGTAGAGAAATAGCTGGGAAAAATATTACCTTCTTCCCCCGAATACAATGTACGGTCATTAATACTCATTATAGCTGTATTTGGGGTATGTTTCAGTCTAAATACAGCTGTCATGACCGTACATTGTATTCGGGGGAAGAAGGTAGAGGTTGAACTGACGAAACCCTACCTGCACACATACACAACCACGAAAGCCAAAAAGTTGAAAAAACGGTGTCCCGTTAAAAAAAAAAAAAAAAAAAAAAAAAGGGCCAAAGGATGGTGTGTACGGTTCATTTTGGTTGAAACAACCGATGAACGGCCGACTCTAAAAAGGCATGCTACCGTTTTTTCCCCCGAACAGAGCACAGGGTGATAAAACAAACACAAAAAGGGTGGTTATCATTACTCGCCGAGGCAAAATTTTCAGGTCATATACAAATATGCCAACTGTGTCCATTAGATTTTCCAGACGGAGGTGCCGTCGCAGGCGTTTTTCAATGCAGCTGAACTTTTAAAGTTTCTGCTTCCAGTTTAACAAAGGGCGAATCACTGCGCAAGCATTTGTACCTCAATTTCAAAGTTCCGAATCCATTCTATTCGAGTGGCCTGGTTCGCCTTGATCGAGTGGCATATACTGTGCCATGATGGCCCTGATCTCCGAGTCCATGTAAGACTGCAAAAAAAATCGCGCAGCCGAATCGGGAAAAAAAAAACACCACCAATTGCACATAAGTCAGACTCATGCTTTCAAAGCCTCACCTTTTTATCAAAACCTGTTTTTTTTTTCAAACCAAACTTACCAAATGGGGTATTCTGAAGGAAGCAGCTTATAATTGCACAGCATACACTGTCGTCAGCATCACTCCGCACGACACGACATACACGCAAAACATGAAGCACACGGTCAAGCACGACACACATGTACGAGGGCTGGAGTAGCTGAGATAGCATTCGATGTATACACTGTGGTCCCCCCCAACAAGTCGACAAGTCAAGAATGTTTGGAGGTGGGCCCAAAACATACACCATGGAAACGACGAACCTACGAACCGTCTGGAGTCGAGATAGCGTTCCATATATACAATGTGGTCCCCACAAGTCGACAACTGCTGAGAACGTAAGACTCGTTACACAATTTATATGGACACACACAAGTCGTCCCGACTCCCAAGTATGAAGGAGAGCTACCATCCTCACCCGAATAGCACGCCCCATCGTTATCGCTGCATCTTGACCGAGAGTTGCGCCAAATAAAGCTATAATGACCAGGCGTTGTCCTTTGCCTTTGCTTCCCTTTTCCTTTCTTTCTTTCTTTTTTTTCACATCTCTTTCTTTCTGTTTTGTTTTTTTTTCTTGCTTCAAGTGTGTCATTCTTGCACAGGAGCCCTGCTAATCCTCCCTTTTCTACTATCACCATGTATTTGGCAAAATACGGGGACGACTCGAGCTCACGTCTTCCTCCCCTCAGTTTCCACTCGTTCCCCCTCTCCTACGTCATACGAATTAATGGACTTATAGCTCAAGTGGCTGTACACCAGACTTGCATTTGACAGATCCAGGGTTCAAGAACCGAGAGAATCGAGATCGAGACCCAGTGGTCTCACACAATCCATGATATTTGCAGTTCGAGAGGATTAGACCGCCAGTACACGGCCCCAGCCTTGCTGAAAAGAAAACCCGTCGCCTACAACATTTTCGGAGGCCCGGCACCATCGATAAATTGAATCGGCGGCTGGCGGCCGCGGAAAAGGGCCCGCGGCCGATAGCTGGGATGTACTGGTGGCTGAAAGCACCAGTACATGGCACCAGCCAAGTTGAGAGTCCGACTGACCCTCTCCTAAAATTTTGCAGGCTAGCGCGCTGTCGATAAAATGAATCAACGGCAGGCAGTCTGCCTATGAAAGGGGTCGGCGGCCAATGACATACGTGGGCCAGGAATGACCATGCATAGATTACCTCTATTTGTTTGGTCTGTGCTAATTACAGCTTTTCTGCTTTTATTGTCACTTCCACGCGCGTCTTGTTTCTTTTCGTCTTGTTCTGGGCATTCATCAAATGGTAGAGCGAAAAAGAAAGGCATGCGGAGGAACTTACGCGTAGCCTATACTTGTAGACCGCATAAGCAGCCATCCCGACAAAAGCAAACACGCTCAAGAGAATCGTAATCGTTATCCATAACGTTCTCGTTGCCGACGACCCAACCTTCCCTGCAAACACCATGTTCAGAAACAAGAGCATCATCAACTAAAGGTTTGTGTACAGAGAGGTTGGTGATAACATTCCACCCTCACCCACACAGACGACCCAACCTTCCCTGCAAATACCATGTCTGAACACAAAGCACGATCAGCAGAGGGTTGGGCATAGAGAGGCGGATCGGAAGACTCCACACTTCACCCCACACAGAGCCCCAAGTTTCCAGCGTCTGACAGAGTTTTCCATCGACTTTTGCCAGCTGACCACCCCTCCCTCGCTCTCCTCTCCAAGAATATAATCACCGCAAAGCAGGACAGTCCCTGTTCTGTTGTTTTTTTTGCAGTCCTGGTTGGTTTTTAATCTTGAAACTCTCCATGCAAACACCGTGTCCACACACAAAAGCATACCGTCTTCACCCGAGTACACCGTAGGCTGTACGTAGACTCGAAGTTGCCCCAAATACAGCTATACTGACCGTGCATTGTATTTGCGTGAAGACGGTAGTCAGCGAAGGGTTGATTGCCTACACATCAGCCGGTCACAGCACTCCATCTGTTTCGCACCCACACAGTAGGGTTGCGAATAGTATTCATGGGGACGGATTTCCTCTGGCCTGACCATGTCATTTTTGAAGACCACCCCACAGCAGAGCAACCCATTGCGCTTCCAACAAATGCGTCACCGGAGAAGAAAGAGAAATGACGAATGCCAATCGCTGTAGATGTCTTGAGAGATGAGGGGAGGTTAAGAGTTATAAAACCACCACTACCTCCTAGCCTCATTTTGCCAAGGCGGAGAAGAACTGCGCACCAAGCTTTGCCGAAGCACCAGCACGGACTTTTCTCTTTTGTTTTGGCTGGGGTCGCCATCCATTTTGGTTCGGCGGCACCCAAGCCTCCGAACAATGCCCTACAGGTTATATTTACGATTTCGCCTTTCACTCTGAGATCCACGGCCAGCGGCCCTGTGCTCCTCGCCCCTGTCGCAGTTGGCCTTTCGGCCCTTGAGGGTACTCGGCCTATGCGTGCCGGTTCGAACACGTTGTGACCGCCTTTTCCCCCACAAAACCGAAAAACAAAAAGCCATTTAACATAAAAGCACAACATCATCATTTCGAGGGACATACAGACTGCATGCAAACCACTTATTTCTTTCCGTATTTTTCCTTTCTATCTTGATTTTACGAAATTCAGATCTTTGTTCTCATTTCGTTATTGTCATTTTATTCTTAGACATTATTGAAATTCATTGTTTTATTATTTGTTCCGCATTACCAAACCGGGCGGCCGGGTCATCTTATTTCCCTGGACGGCAAGGACAGGGAGGGGCCAAGGAAGGTCCCTTCAACAACAAAAATACTGTCTTCCCAGGAGGGACCCCTTCGATTCATCCGCCTGTGTGTGTGTTGCCATGTTCGCAATACAGCTCAACAAAAAAAAGCATGACCGTGGGGCTCCATTTCACATGAGGTGAGCCAAGCGGCAAGGCCCATACGCAGCGCGTAAGCTCGAATTCGTTTTATTTGTTTTGTTTTCACTTCACGGACTTGTTATTGTTTCTCAGAACAATTTGTTTTGTTATTAGCTAAACCTTTGTTTGTTCTACGCCATCACTTGTTTGCAACTTTGCACACAAATCACTGGGACTGCATGGCCTGTCTGACGATCAGTACGTCTGCCAGTCTGGCCAGATAAAACTGCAGGTACCTAACAAACAAACAGAAAAAAAAAAAAGCACCCTCGCAGAAACACCAGATTAATGCTTGCCGGTGACAAGCAACCGGACTGACGCCCCCCAGAATAGAAGGGGCCTTAAGGTTTTCACAACAACAAAAAAAGACCGCCAGAATATTCAAGCTGACAGTCGATCCTCCAGGTATCTGGAGCAATCAATGCTGCTCAGGGGTCCATCGGCCAAACGGAGGGAAGCGCGAGGGTGTTCGTGCCACAATTCTGACTTGCCGGTGGAACAGGAACGGAACTGAAGCTCCCCAAAATGGATATGGAGCCAAGTCCATAACGACCTGTTTTATTAAAAAAAATAAAATGCAGGATATTATATTATCATTAGAGTATTCGACAGGTAATTGAAATGGTTGGGCTTAAAGAAATAGCCCTTGAAACACCGCCCGGAAAGTTTATCAGATTCTCGCAACCAAAAAAAAAAAAACCGAAGGGAAAAGGAAAAACTTCAATAAAAAAGCAAAAAAGCCAAAACAGAACAAAAGTACGAATCATAAAGCTAAAACACGGAAATTTTATCAGATTCTCGCAAACTTGACCAGGTTCATCCGCAAGCTAGCCAGTTCATTGGTTATCCATTTACGTACGTCTACAGACTCCGATTTATGCAGATGAACCTGGACATCTTTGAGATAATCAAGCTCCGCAAGACGTCTACATCCATTTTCAAAGTTGGCCTGAGACTTACTGATGCATGTGTCATGCTCCTGCATGTAAAGCTGATCGCTAGCGCAAGTGCACTCGAAAGAGCCGTACGTGTTCTTGCATTTGCAGCCAGAACATCTGCACATCGTTTTGCACTCGTCGATATCTGCACAGTATACATAGATTACACACACACAGATGTCACATCAATTCGCCTGTCAGAAAAAATAACAAGATCAAAATCTTCGAAGTTCAAACCAGTGGTTACCGCAAGTTTGCACAATTCGCATGTCCGAAAAATAACAAGATCAATACCTCCCAACCATGATGGGGAGGGGCGCAGTGTGAGTATGTAGCTGACCTTGAGTTGACTTGACGTGGGAAAAGGAACACGACTGCTGCTCCCCAGAATCGAAGGTGCCTTTTTTCATTAAATCAATATGGTCTTCACCCGAATAGAACGCCAGGTAATTATCGCTGTATATGGGCGGACAGATGTGCCAAATACAGCTATAATGACCGGGCGTTGTTATATTCGGGTGAAGACGGTAGTACCTTCGTCGTTTCGGAAAATACTGGCCCTCCGACCCTTCACGAGGCCGAAACAAAATGACGGCCATCGATTAGATTTATCAATGGCGGCCGTCGTTTGGCCCGGCCTCCAAAGGTACTAGTGGTTTCAGGGGGGGGCGCGGGAGAGGGGAGGAACGGAAAGATCTATATCTTTGAAGTTCAAAAAGGCGATTACCACCTTCAAGATCGCGCGCGGAGCCCACGATTCACACAGCAACGGACAGAGTTCTGGTAGTACACGGGCCGACCCTTGCAAGATATGTTTCGTCGGCAACTCGGGAAATTTTGCACCTCAAGCATATCACATCGCAATGGCTGGCCAAAAAAGAAAAAAAAGTGCGCCGCTGGCGTTTTGGCAAAGATTGGCATGGAGTGGGGCGCCTCCAGGCCCGGGTGTTCTCGTGGTTGACGCCCATTTCAGTTTTGATGAAATTCGACATAGGTCTCTGCAAAACAGAGCACAGGATTGCACTCATCGGAATTCATGCTGTACTCCTTACAGGGGTGACGGCCAAAACGGTTATGGATTGCTGTGAATTCCCTTGCAGCCGTGTCCACTACTCTGTCAAGTACAGCTTCAAAGAGTGACGTACTACTTCAGACGGTTAAGTACTGCTTCAAATGGTTAAGAATTGCTTCAAACAGCTTATGCGCTGCTTCAAAACCAGTTAAGTACAGTTCAAATGGTTAACAATTGCTTCAGTTGCAGTTATGGAAGGTGCAAAACTCGAGCAAAAAGCAATCATCGTCCCAAGTTGCAAGAGCACACACCGGAACACAAACGTACATGATTGCAAAGCGCCGGCGGTTATGATACAGTTTATGCACTGCTTTAAAACCAGTAAGTACAGCTTCAGGCAATTAAGTACTCCTTCAGATGGTTCGGTACTGCTTCAAATGCTTAAGTACTCTTTCAAATCGTTAAGTACGGCTTCAAGTAGTTAATCCACCAGAGTACAGGTACTCCATTAAATGGTTACGTGGTGCGTAAAAGTGGTTAAATCACCGGTACAGTAACTGCACCAGTATCAAATAAATGGTGGTTAAGCACAGCTCCAACCGTTTACGGTATCCTTGCAGCATTGATGACTAACCGGCTAAGTAAAACTTCAAACAGTTGAGTAGAGATTCGACCGGTTAAGTACTGCTTCGAGAGATTTCCCCGGTTAAGTACTGCTTCGGACGGTTAAGTGTTGTACCGCCTCTAACAGTTAAGTCGTGCTTCAAACGGTTAAGTGCTGCTTCAAACGGTTAAGCACTGCTTCAAACGGTTAAGCGCTGCTTCAAAGGGTTAAGCACTGCTTCAAAGGGTTAAATACTGCTTCAACTGGTTTAAGTACTGCTTTAAAGCATTGCTTCAAACAGTTTAAGCACAATGCTTCCAAAACCCGTCACACCACTTGTAATGCAGAGCCATTTATTTTATCGAGGGCCCCGAGACTGAGACTTTGCCCAACCCAACCTCCTTTCCCGATGCCGAAAAGACCAATATGCGGCACAAAACCTTTCTTTTTTAAGAATCTCTAGCACACACAACACTGGCACAAAAAAAAATCCAGACTTCTTCGCAGACGGACGAAATAGGGACCACACAAGAAGATCCAAACTTCTTCGTGCAAGGACAAACCAGGGAGGCCAACACCTGAAATTACAGACATTATCGACACTGATTGACTGACGGTATTCAAAGTTCCTGCCGCCTTTTGAAACCTGAGAGATGTGCGTATCGAGACAATTACGTGGCTGCAATACTCGTGAATGTTCTGGGCGGACCCCACAGGGTTTCGGAGGCACTGGACATCTGAACTCAAAACGCACCTACAAAAGATTCTTGGGTTGGATTGCAATATACTACCATCTTCACCTGAATAGAATGCCCGGTCATTATATCTGTATTTGCTGCAACTTTCAGTCCAGATACGCCAATAATTACCGAGCGTTCTATTCGGGTGAAGATGCGGTAGGGTCATCGTCTCTGGACACACAGAAGCCAGCATCTCTTCTTGCAAGGTGAGTTATTCTCAACAACGGGACCTTTCATCTCCAGAGGCTTGGAAGGGACCCCATCTTAGGGCCTCGGACGACTAGTCACCACATGCACAAAAGACAATGTATAGTTCCATGTTCCCAGGTGGATTCATTCTCATCTTGCGCATTCGATAAGTACTCAGTGAGGCCGTTACTGCACGGAATACCAGAGTAAAAAGGAATGAATATTTCCATGTTCTAGCGGAAGATTCATTCTCATTTTACACATTTCGCGAGTTATGGTACTTCGAGGAATGCTGGAGGTGCATATTTCCACATTCTCGCGGAAGATTCTTTCTCATTTGGCACATTTGGTGAGTCCTGGAGCGAGGCCCTTACTGCAACGAACACTGGAGTAAAAAGGAACGCATACGGGTGCATACTCACATCATCACATGTTCTCGCGGAAGATTCATTGCACGTTTGGTGAGTACTGCAGGGAGGCCCATTCTGCAAGGAATAGCGGAGTAGAAAGAAATGAACACTGGTGTATATTTCCACGTTCTTGCAGAAGATTCATTCCCATTTTGCACATTTGGTGAGTGGTCGAGCGAGGCCGTCACTGCAAGAAATCTTCGTCTTACGAACTCTTACCTCTACTGGGTTTGGTCGCTTTCTTGGTTCACGAGGGGCTGCCTTGGTAACCACCACTTGTGTTTCAATTTCTTCAGGTCTGTGGAGTAAAAAGGAATGGCTTAGGGGTGGAACCTACAGATTTTCCAAGGCACTGCAAAACGCAAGTCCAACAGCCCTTAGATATCTCCATAGGTGGGACGAAGAGGATTTTACGCTGCCACAAAGATTATTCTGTGATGCTTTATACAGTTATGGGATGGCCTGCCAAGTACCTTCCAACAGCCCTTGGATATCTCAATAGGTGGGACTGAGGATTTTACGCTGCCACAAAGATTATTTTTTGATGCTCTTATACAGTTATGGGATGGCCTGCCGAGTTCCTTTGGAAGTGGACTTCCCTCAATGAGATCTCGGACTAGAGCTGAACAAAGACAAGACGAAGATATCACATATCGTCCATTCTGGATTCTTCTTCCCAGGTACCAAAACATCGTGTGGCCACACAAGGTACGAAATACGAAGTACGAGGACCTAGATTGGTGGTTGCATGCACCCATCAGGAGACTGTTGAGTACATTGCGAGTACAGGGATTTTACTAAATACCTTCGCACTGCTTCCCATCACCGTCGAATCCAATCGGACACTTGCAACCAGTACCACCAAGTGAGTCCTGCACACAAAGACACAGAGAGAGAGAGAGAGACAAACAAGGGGTCATCATCAGTCTTCAACCTTCCACTTCACATCTGGCATCGCTAAATGAGAAACCAACCCCCCAAGTACCTAACCTGTCAGCTAAACGGTACATAGACGGAACGGCTAACGTAGAGATCACAACTTCGAGTCCTGATCAAATCGATTGGGACGATAGTGTTAGTAGCGAATCCATTTAAAAAGAAGAAAATGGGCCCGTCCAGCACATGCTTCTCCATACAGACCAACCAAAAGGCAGATATACGGATGGGCGAACAAAAAGGCAGAAAACACAAAGACAGCTTACCATATACACAACTTTGAGTCCTGATCAAATCGATTGGGACGATAGTGTAAGTAGCGAATCCATTTAAAAAGAAGAAAATGGGCCGGTCCAGCACATGCTTCTTCATACAGACCAACCAAAAGGCAGATATACGGATGGGCGAACAAAAAGGCAGAAAACACAAAGACAGCTTACCATATAATAAAGCCAGAAAAAAAAAAAAGAAAAAAAAAAAAGAAAAAAAAAGAAGAGAAGGCTGGTTATAAGGCTGAAGATTTGGGGGCTTGGTCCACCACGCACCCACCACATAAACAAAAGACCAAAAAAATGCTGGTGTATCTTTTCCATACTTCCGGCGCATCCCATGCGCGCCACTCCCGCACATGAGGCGCACTGCACATTGCGCACGTGGCGCACGCACCCAGTGCGCCGCATGGGCAAAATTCAGGGTCAACCAAAAAAAAAAAAAAAGTTGGGGAGAGGGTGAATCGAAGTTCCCACGCCCAGCTAAAATTCAGACATCGCCCACGCAAATTTTTTTCAGGGCCGCGCTGCGCCAAAAGCTCAGTGTGTCGTCATGTTTGCTGTACTCAATGCTATCTCCAGTGTATCCGAGTCCTTTCAGAGGTCCAATACAATCATGATGAGGACGCGTCTGTGGAACCGTTGCTTTCCTCTCATTACTTCCAGATATAGAAAACGACAGAACTGACAGTTGTGTTTCCTTGGTGTCTTTGCTAWAAAAAAAAAAGAAAAGAGAGAGAGAACGTCCGYGACATCGGGCTTCGCTCCACTACTCTCGAAATGCACAAAAGACAAAAATCATGGCGGTGTATCTATCCATGTTCTAGCGGAAGATTCACTCTCGTTTCGCACATTTCGAGAGKACTGGAGCGAGGCCCGTCCTCATGGGGCGTGGCTCCGTTTTTGGACAACGGATACTCCTGACAATGGGCCTCACTTCCCGTTTTTGGACAACGGATACACCTGACAATGGGCCTCGCTCCACTACTCTCGAAATGTGCAAAACGAGAGTGAATCTTCCCCTAGAACAAGTGAATATACATCGCCATGTTTTTTGTCTTTTGTGCATTTCCGGAGGAGTGCAGCGACGCCCTAAGACCCTTCTAGACTCAGCTACGGGCGTGATTCCAGGCATCATTGCCGTCAGAAAAATCCTACCTTCTTCCCTTGAATACAACGTACAGTCATTATAGCTGTATCTAGACGGAAAGATGCCTCCGATACAGCTATAATGACCGAATGTTCTATTTGGGGGAAGAAGGTAGTGTCAGTAGGAGATACGAGATGACCCCCGGGCTGTTTTTTTGTTTTTTTTTTGCTTTTGTTTTTCTAAACATAGTTGTCTTTTGGCGTTCTTCTGACACTGCCAATCATGACTGTATGCGACCTGATAGTAGAGTAGGATACATTTGGGGCAACAATGCCCTCCGTACAGGGCGGGAACTCGGATCAAAGTTTACGACGGCAGCTGCCCTGCACTACACACACACACACACACACACACACACACACACACAACAACAACAACAACAACAACAAAAAGAAGGCCTGCGCACCAGTGAAGTTGCGCCCTGCACAGTGTGCTGCGCCTGTACGCTTTTTGTGCGCGGTCTGCGCACATGCGCTCGCATCTCAGAGCCGCGCACGGCGCAAGGCGCACCGCACTGGTGCGCCGCAAGTATGATCTTTTCCCATGTTCTAGTGGAAGATTCATTCTCATTTTACACATTTTGCCAGTAGTGGAGCGAGGCCCTTGCATTCTAGTGCGAACAAGATATATCCTGCTGAATATCACGGTATGTACACTGCAACTGATCATCATGTTATGTCAGTTGTAACCGATCCTGGTCGATGTGTCGGAAACGTAGAGACTTTTACTACACAATGGGCCTCGCTTCACTACTCGCCCAATGTGCAAAATGAGAATGAATCTTCCGCTAGAACATGCGAAGATGCACTGACATATTTTTTTGTCTTTTGCCCATGTCGGGAGTAGGAGAACGAGGCCCAATCTCTACGTTTCAAACCTTCTTCATCTTCATTTAGACATTTTCCTGCTTGTGAATCAACAACAGGAACCAGTCACATCCTCCGGGAGAAGGGGGGGGGGGGGGGGGGGAGGCGCGGTTAATGAAACAGAGTTGCCATGCTGCAGACCTTTTTTTTTTTTTTCTGCAGCTTTCACCCGCATCTACAAGGAAAATTTCATACCTCACTTTTCCCATCATAAACTATGTAGATCTCCTCTGAATCCATCAAGATTTGAACTCGTAAGAGTCGTTACCTGTGTCATCAACACTTACCTGTGTGTACCATTCAGACACATGGGCTGGGTAATTGTTTTTTTTTCCCTAAAGAATTTTATTATTTTAATATTTTTTGAAACTTTTTTAATGGGTTTTGTATTATGTGAAGTACACATTTTTTCGGGGCATTTGGCTGTGCAAAAAAAAAGAAGATAATCGCCAAACATGGCGGTGCTGAAAATGTGGTCGCGCACTCACTAAATTTAATTCTCTTCTTTTTTTTTGTTAGCATTTGTTTTCCGTATTTTATTTTTAATTCAAATTTGGTAAGGAATTTGGATGTAATGCTCAGGCAAATGTTGTTTATTTTATTTTTCTTCATAACATTTTTGTTTTTCAGATTTTTTTGATGTTTTTTTTTTTTTTTTTTTTTTGGTCCGCATTCAGCCTGAACGGCCGAACACATCCCCAAGGGGTCCCATACGTTCGGGTGTTTGCCCCCTCCCGAACGTCGGTTACCCTGTATATAACGTCACAAACAGAACTGCCCGGTAAACCGTAGGCAGAGGGAGAGAAGAGGACAACAAACGAGGGGCTGTGACAAACTGTTTCGTCAGAGTTATATATATATCGTCACAAACAGAACTGCCCGGTAAAACCGTAGGCAGAGAGAGAGAAGAGGACAACAAACGAGGGGCTGTGACAAACTGTTTCGTCGGAGTTTCACCGACTCATCAACATCGTCAAACAAAATTTGGTAAATAATTTCGATGTGACCCTGAGGCAAAAGTTGTTCAGTTTTTTTTCGGATTTTTTGGATTTGTTAAATTTTCTTTTTTTCTTTTTTTCTTTTTTTTGTGTACTGGGACGTCGTTGCACGGCCGGGCTGCCCATGAAAACAAGCACATTGCCGACTTTATTACCTTTAATTCTTTTTTGTACTTCATATGAAACTGAGGACAAAGCTATGACTTTGTTCATGGGATATCTACTCCCTCGGGCGGCGCGGCTGGTAGCCTAGCTTGCTACTGTTCAACATTATAGACATGTTTTACACAAAGAAAGGAATCCAATGCACCACACTACACTCACATCACAGGCCGTGAAGCGTCTTCCATCACGTTCCTCCTGCCAGCATCCTCCATTATCGACTCTGCAGCGCCCAGGACCAGAAGCTGTTCACACAGAAATCACACACCAAAAAGGTAGGTGTGAGCGAACGAGTCCACTGACTCTGAACCACCAGACAGAGCGACGGAAAATACAGATACACAGAGTGATGACGCGCAGGGACAGAGAACCGCCACAAGCACTCAGCAGAAGCTTCTCCCATCACCCTACGAGCAAAATGGCGCTAACGTCAAACTCTACAGCATCTCCCCCTAAGAAACAATAAGCAACACGGCGCTACAAGGAGAACCAATCTCCTCACAACCAAAGCGCATTCCTTAATCAAAACAAAACAAAACAAAAAAGGCGCATTCCTCGTGTACAAACTGTCTGCTGTCGAGTACGAGCATTCTCACAATAGACTACAGAAGTGGATGTGTTTGAAAACCATGAGGCCTGGGCTAGTCAAAGTCGAGGGAGCCCTTGTCTGTCGAGCATCAGCTACGGACAATGACAGTTATAACAACAATCCAGATACTAACAGGCTCAGGACCCAAAGGCAAGAAAAAGGGGGGGAAAAAAAACAGAATTAGGTCCGGAAGAGTAAAAAAAAAAAAAAGAGAACCAGCAAGAAAGGACGATCATGTCCGGAACGGGACTTCGTCACTTTTTAAAAAACCATGAAGCACAAAATGGCATTTCACCCTACTTGGCAACAAGCAAGTACAAGTGATGGCAGATGGCAGTTCATCTCACAGCACCAACAGACACCAAAGCCATGCACCATTTTTTTTATTTTTTTTTGGATTCAACTTGACAAATGGAAAGGGGACTCGAAAGGACAAAAACAGAAAAGGGCCGAAAATCGAAATGGAACGGAGGCGGTTGTTATTCCTCAAGACACCCTTGCAGGTTGGACCGCAAGACAAGATACGGAACAAAACCGGCATCGGAGAACCGTAAACACAAGAACTATGCGAATGCGCTGCATGCATTCTTCGCACATACCGCTCAAGGAACATAACAATGAACCTTTCAAGTACAACAAAACAGCGTCCACGTGCGACGAACCAGCATCCACGTGCAACGAACAACCATGAGAGTGCGTTATTAGTTGCTTTTATTATATACGTTTTGTGAAAGTCATGTATTTTGAAACACCTAAAACATGGATTTTCTATAAACCAATGGATCGTGAAAAATCTTTATTGCTTGCTATTACTCTCTTTTTTATCACTTTTTTTTTCTTATATCATCTAAGGCGCCTCTTTTTGAGGCACCTTTCTTAAGCGGAAATGGGCCACTTGTTTTGGTTTGGGTAGATTTCGATAGTGCCACGAATTCGAAAAGTAATAACAAGAATAGCGAGCCCAATAGCAGATTCTGCAGCAGCTAGCCTTGAAAGTTTCGCCAAAAGTTTTTTGACTAAATAAAACAAAACCCACAAAACTAAAAGCTACTAATGTGGGATGGTTGGGTTTACTGAGTGTTTTGATGACAATTCTATTGCTGATCAATAATCCTTTAACCACTGCTAATCTGTTTTATAATAATCTAATCGTAGATAATTTGACCTATTTTTGTAAAATCTTTCTATTGTTTGTCAATGGACAGAGAAGAAAGGCGACAAGAATCAGTGAGTACAGATGACACCGTACTAAACAGAAAAGTACGGTCTTTTTTGAAGTCTCTCGAACAGCAAACAAGGCAATGAACACCCCATAGCACTATGCAAATTCATTACTCACACTTTTCATGTGTACCACGTCTCCAACTCTCCCTTACCAAAGAAAAACAGCAGCCGGGGCCTGAAACAACTAAACAAGATCTAGAAACAAGGTACAATGACACTCCAATGAACAAATGCCTTTCAAACGCCACAGACACGGTGCAATGACACGCTCCAATGGGACACCAAACAAGCCTTACAGATTCCAAGCAGCAAGAAAATGCATCAATCGGAAAGCCATCGAAAAGCCACACCATTGTGAGCGTTGAGCTTTGAGCTTTGAGCTTAGTAAAGGAGTTTTTATGACTTACGTTTGCAGTCTTTGAAACCGTCCCCAACATATGTCACTTCTGGAGTTGTTGGACACTCACAAATTCTCCCTCTGAAAGTATCCTGCCATTACATTCCAGAAATTACAAAAAATGGTGATACATCAGTCCCCACCACCTCTCTCTCTCTCTACCTCTCTCTCTCTCTCTCTCTCCCTCTCTCAAGCAGAGGGGCAAAGGTGCCCCATGCCAAATTCAATGAATCAGCAACCGTGACTGCGGGTAACTGACGGGGGCAAGTTCTGTATTGCATGTGAATGGATGTGAACAGATTCTCTACATTCAGCCAGAGACTGGAAAGCAATATGAAGTTTCTTAGTTCTCTTCTACTATTCAGAAGGAGATTCTACCATTCTTAGTTCTATATAATCAGAGGATTCCATACAGATTTTAGCTCGTGAGCTATTCGCTACCGGTGACAAATGCGTACCATTCAATCACATGGGCTTGTTAAGCAATATCAGCTTATCTGCAACCGAAGTGGTTGTCCAGCGCTCTCTCACCGATAGCCACCCTGGGTCCTCAATAGCATAAAAACCGAAGTGGCATTAAAGCGAGTTCAGGATACACCCAGCAATGCCGCTTAACACTGCTTAACGGCAGATTTACCCCTCACGCCGAATGGTCATGAAGCACCCTTGCCTATAGCCACCCTGCCCTATTTGGTTAAAACTCTCTTATCGTAACTCCCCGGTTTACCCCGAAACCTCACACCGCATAGCAGCTCGCTTTCCACCCGTCGCACCGATAATAGCCAAACTTCCCCTTCGGCAACAGGCTCGTGCTGTCAAAATGCTTCTGATCGAGAGTTTCGCAGAAGTCGCCACAGCTGAGGACCCCACCAGCCCCTTCAGGCAGCTGAAGACCGACAAACAAGCATCTCTCTCTATCAGACCAGCTTTACGCCAGTGATCACGGTGCAAGTGCTCGAGAACGGCAAGCGTAGAATCCCACAGGCGTTATGTTTGTACACGAAAATCATGAACCTGGTCCTTGAGGTCTGCCAGATTCATATTTTTTTATCATGTGTTTAGCACCAATCGAGCACGGCCAGAAGTTCTACATGAGATCACCCCCTGCAGAGGCAGACACAAGAAGAATGGAAGGCAACAATGAAGGCACTAGAAAGTGGTACACAAAAAGAGAAATACAAGCACATAAGAAACTCTGGCTTCTGTCCCTCGGGATATCCATTAAAATTGGCAGGATGCAAAGAAAGAAGATTAGCATGGCCGTCGGGCAAGGATGACACGCATCAATCGAGAAATGGTCCAAATTTGGGGTGGCGGGGGGTGGGGGGGGAGGGGAGGGAACTGACTTCTGTCCTTCAGGATATCCATCAAAATTGGAAGGATGCATAAAAAGAAGATTAGCATGCCCGCTTTGCAAGGATGACAAAGCGAAAAATGGTCCAAATTTGAAAAATAAAAATAAAACATCCGAAAACGGCTACGTGGAGATAGGAAATTCTGGTTTCTGAAAAATGGAAAAGCAGGAAAAAAAACAAAAAAAAAAACGCAATGCTACGTTGGCAACTGTATGAAAAAACATAAAAAGAAAAAAGGCAAGGGTGACTATTTACTAACCCTGCATGCCGTTACATTGTACCCCTCCCAGCACCCTCCGTTGTTTGCCTGGCACTCGTTCGTCTCAATATCTGATAATACACCAACAACACATCGAGGGGGGAAAAAGTTCAAAAAAAATGACAAAAAACAGATTAGCACACATCGAGGGGGAAAAAAACATGGGAAAGAACACCAAAAAAGAAGATGACAGCTTGGTTACTTAATGCCTCCATCGTTTCCCCTATGTATTGCGCTGTGGGAAAGAGCAGTACAGATCCTACAGGAACGGGGGAAAAAAAAGAAAAGAAAAGACGGACTATCGAGGGGATCTGGCTCAGCACAGGTTCATTGTGAATCAATGTGGATACCATCTCGCACAATCAGAACATCGGACTCCCAGTCATTTTATAGCCGATTTGGGGCATCCTGCTGTCTTGCCTGGTCAGTATCGCCATCTCCGGACAGCAAGATACTACCCCAAATCGGTCAAAATCATCGGGAGACTGCGCGAGTCCTGTTCGGGTGACGACAGTAGGCATTATCCCCACAATCTACGTTCTCCACCCCACAATCGTCAGCAGCCTGCACAATCATGCGCGACTCCTAGAGATTTTGGAAGAAAAACTACCATCGTATTAACCCAGATACAACGCACTGACATCATAGCTGGCATTTAGGGCAACTTTCAGTCTAGATACTGTGACAATGACCGTACGTTCTATTCAGGCGAAGAAGGCAGAAACCTCTTTTGCCAAGCATGCAAACAAAACAAACAGAGCTTTGGCCTTCTGTCACCCCACTCCTCCCTCCAACAATACCCTAACAAAATCCCCCTTCCACGAACACCCGTACGCCTCTGCAGTTGTACTGGTGACTGTCACATATGCACAGTCAGCATCCCCTACAACAGACTTGTATGATTCTCACTATATGATTTCCCCAGCTAAAAAGACCCATTTCAAGCATTTGTTCCCATGGTTCAACAAAGTAACTACTGCCTTATCTACTTCCTTGACCCCACCTCTCTCTCTCTCTGTGTGTGTGTGTGTGTGTGTGTGTGTGTGTGTGTGTGTGTGTGTGTGTGTGTGTGTGTGTGTCTGTGTGTGTGTCTATGTGTTGTAAAGTTCACTATAGAGAACTCCACACCATAAAAAGCAATACTTTGCCGGGTCAGACTTTTACCGACTTTTACAGACTGTGTGTGTGTCCGACAAGTTGCGACAACCACATGCACGTACAAGGGAAAAAAGAAAAGAAGCTCTTGAAATCCATGTCCCTCTTGTTCGTAAAAACACCGCGGCTTCTGTCCGCCTGCCCTTTTTTTTTCACCCCCAACTACAGCGATAATGACCGTTTGTTCTATCCCGGAGAAGATGGTAGGAGTTGAGCATAAAGTCTGAGATAGTTATTCACACAATACGAGGACCCTCAAAGACAACAGGGGCACCCAGAGGTCAGTGTCTAACATACCTCCTCCAAGACAAACACTTGGCTCCGTCTCTTCCTTGAACCCTGCACAAATACCCTTCAGGACAGCATTCTTCTCCAGCTTTCCTGGTAAGACAGACGCGACATGGACACGGACGGAATCAATATATATATATAAGCATATACCCTTACACCTTCAGAATCATCGACTGCTGCATCAAGACCAGAAGTTGGTTAAGGTTCATCGACTTCCTTAGTATCATCCGCTGCTTATCCAAGCGTTCGTGACAGTCGTTTCCTACCCCTGCTCAAGGGCGGCAATCGGTCACAGGCCAAGTATAACCCCCCTCTGGACTAACACATGGCAACAGAACTCCACGAGGCCGATGCATATCATTGCATTTCCAAAACAAAAAAAAAAAAAAAAAAAACATGGAAAAAAAAAATTATAAAAAAAAAAAAAAAAAAAAAAAAAAAAAAAAAAAAAAAAAAAACCAAAAAAAAAAAAAAAAAAAAAAAAAAAACAGAAGGTAAAACGAAAGACTGCATTTCCTAAACAAATACAGGGACGAAGTGGCAGGAAGGGAACCCGGAAGCCACCAACGGGTCCAGCTCAGTTGGTACACCCACGGACTCTTGAAATATAGATCCAAGCTTGAATCCGGACACAATCAGATGACCACAATAAAATGTCTGAATTTCCTGGCGTACGTCAGTTCAAGGATGATATCTCAAGCCCATCCCCTTTTTTAAAGGGGGAAGGGGGGTGAGGAGGGGGGAGGAACGGAAACCAAGAACGGGAGAAGGAGACGATGCACCTACTTGTTTTCAACAGGTAAGAGAGGGGACTGCCCGCACGGCAGTAACCTATAACGGCACACGTGCAGCAAAAGAGTATCTATGAGGAATCGGGTCGTGCTCCACTACCCACCAAACGAGCAAAATGAGAATGAATCTTCTGCTAAAACATGGAAAGATACACAGCAATATTCTCTCTTTTGTGCATAAGGTGAGCGGTGGATTTACACCGATAGAGGAGCAGCAGCACAATCAACTGCTAGATGGGGGGCGGGGCGAGGGGGGGGCGGGGCGCGGGGGGGGCGGGAGAGCGGGCGTAATCACCCGAATACAACATACGGCCATTATAACTGTATTTGGAGCAACTTTGAGTCTAGATGCAGCAATAATGACCGCACGTTGTATTTGGGTGAAGACAGTACCCAAAGGGTAACACAGGTATGACAAAAAAAATTGATCCTGGGTGAGGACGGCCCCCGGCCGGGCGTGCCCGGGGGGGCAGCCCGGGCAAACCGGGCGGGCCGAAAAACACCCGAGAATTTTTATTTTATTTTTTTTCTGAAGGCGGGGCCTTTCCGCGCTCGGCGAGAGGACCCCAAATCTGCAATAAAATTTTGGGTTTGGGTGGGG